TTTTCAAAGTGTATGATTATGAGTATAAAACTTGAATTGGTTTTCTAATTGTTGGACACAGAGAATTTCCGATGCATCAGGAAGCATTTTAGTGGACTAGGAGAACATGTGGTTGAAGTTAGTTGGTAATAACTGGAGATTCTCTTTATTTAGGTGATGGCTTTGTATGCAGAACACAGAATGCTGAAAACAAACTTTAATCATGTTTTTGTAACGTTATTTAAACTGAAGAACTACATAACTTTTGTGGTAAAGCAAAAATTTGTTACTCGAAATATTGACATTTTGATTTCAGTTTTTCTGGTATTTGGGACTGCTAAATTCAACTTTCTGTGCCTCTGAATTGAGCTGTAGGAAGAATACTAGCCTTTTTGTTTAGAAGTTTTTGTCCAGAGTTACACAATTTGCTGCAAAGAGAATGCTGTGGTTGTTTTAGTTATGTCCTGGCCAGAAAATAAAGTGCTCTGATCAACTGCATATAATAACCTGGTAGCCCATTCTTAAGGGAAGGAGGTGCCAATCACATTATTTCCCCTCTCATTTGGATGTTTTTGTCTATTACATTTTAAAATAGAGTCAAACTTTCATAAAACAGCTGGCTCTAGATATTATAGTGGCTACACAGGAATGCAATAGTTGAGCTGGGCTGCACAGATGTTGCTGGTTTACTTTACTGGAGCACTTTTATTATAGAGTATGCAACTTTGTTCAGATCACAGGTTCTGCAGACCATGCCCTAATGGTGTAAAGATGAATTACTGCAAGTTTTCTGATAGTCTATAACAACTGGATTGTCGTCAGTAGGACGGACGTAAGGGTGGAAGGTGGTTGCAGTTCAGGGCAGCTAACAGCAAGGGCAGCCTTTTCTTGATTAATTTTTACCACCAGAGACTTAAAGAATCTGACGTGGAGTGAGAGGGTTAGAGTGTATCATTTGGCCTTTCCATTAAAAACGTGTGATATTGTAGTTTCCAGGTGGAATCAGAAAGACACGAGGACTAGGCGACATTGAAGGTGAACTTCTAGACGTAACATATGTATATACTGAACTTTACAAAAATAAAAACTTATCTGGGTGGGGCTAGGGAGGTGGGGGAGGGGAACGAGAATGTCTGCCGCTGGTACGAAGTAGTCACTTTAACATTGAAACCTCTGCCTCATTGAATTCAGGGTTTAATGTACTTGAAGCTCTGCAGTTCATTATTTTTACAGCTATTTTATTTATACATAGATAACATTTTTTGTATGCGACATCAAAAGTCGCTTTATTCCCCCTCCCTTGAGTTAAATTACTTTCTACTCCCAGTGTACAGTGTATTCAAGGCAAAATGGAGAGATTTTTTTCAAAGCAGATGTCTCAGACTTATGTATGCACTTAATGAGAAGTGTATTGCATGAGACACCAGCAACTTTTTGATGTCCTTACTTTAGAATATTGTATCAACTCCTTCACCCCACGCCACTTATTTTTGTATAGTAAAAGACATTTGCACTTACGATACACTCCTGAAATTCTGGATGTATTCAAGATGTCGTTCAGAAAAAGGAAAAAAAAAAAACCTACGTATTTCCTATTATAGTCTACTCCTGAGTGGCAAACTCAGGTACTTTTTACCTTAGTGAGGGTATATCGCTCTGCTTTTTTGGGGGGAGGGTGGGAGGTTATAAAAGTGAATTGTCTGTAAATCATATAAGACAATATAAAAACAAAAAGGGAAAATTAGATACGAATTTGCCAAAGCCATTCATTGTTTATCATGTGGTACTGATTGCATTTGTGCACAAGAGTGAGAGCGCTGCTGTTTTTAATGGTGTCTCTTCTAGCTTGAAAAGCAGCTATGGCAATATGTGTTTGATCCTCTCCCAAACATTCGCCCCATAGCCTAGCACTGGATGTTTTAAGGAATTCTTTGTTCACTTTTGATTTACAGACAGACTGGATGAAATATATTTGCTTCCTGTTCATTAATGTTGATCCGTATCTCATTTCTAGTGTCATATTTTTTTCATTTATAAGCAGACTAATCATGTTGCCACTGAAAACCAAGATGATAAATAACTATTACAACTGGCTAGTAATAAGATTGTCTTTTTTGTATAGGGGTATGTGCATATTGGGGATTGCTATTAAAAATTTAACCCATTTGTACCTACACAAGTGATATTGCACAACAAACACAGATACCTACAGATTCTGTTTTCATTTCCATGTAATCTTTATCTGTAACAATGACCTTTGTAGAGTCGTTATTTCTGTAGACTTTGTTTATCTGTAACAATCTTTGTAGATTCTGTGAAATGTTATTTTAACTAAATCACTTGAGTCTTTAATAACAAAGCATCAATATTCACTAAAGTCGATATCTTAGGAGTTTCTAGAACTTGGCTAGAAGCTCTTGACACTAACAAAGTAGTGTTAATTTTCCCTGGGGATGTTCCGCTGGGGCATTACTGTATTATGACTTGATGTTGCCGCATAGACTTTGAGATATACAATATGGGGTGGGGGGTTGTTGTTTGGCCTATGTTCTCTTGCATAGTGTGAAACCTGTAAAGCTTGGTTAACCTGTATATAGATAGCTTATTGTCAACTAGTATAGTGTATTTAGAACTGCCTGTAATATTTTAGCTTCTTACTGAATGTTGTGATGGTAGGATCATATAATTTTTGTACATTATATTTACTGAGATGTTGCCTTTTTTTATTTCACAAATACTTCGGAATTCAGATGTGTTTTTGCTTCTGTGAGGATTAATTTGGAAAGGTTTTTAATGACATTCCACTGATTTAAAATTTTGCTTGAGGTTGACTTCAATAAATTGTTCTGAATGTTCCAATTAAGAATGTGATTTTTTTTCCTGTTGTAATTTTCAGGCTAGAGCTAGAGAACAGTGTTGCAGCTGGACAGTTCAGAGATAACTAAGCCACATACTGAACAGATCCACAGGTATAATATAAATATTGACCCCAGCGTGAGTTCAACTGACAATCAAAAAAATTACCCCGCTGGAGTGAGCGTTTGGGAAATGTCCAGGAACAGTGTTGCAGCTGGACAGTTCAGAGATAACTAAGCCACATACTGAACAGATCCACAGGTATAATATAAATATTGACCCCAGCGTGAGTTCAACTGACAATCAAAAAAATTACCCCGCTGGAGTGAGCGTTTGGGAAATGTCCAGCCAGCCCGTGTGTTGTACCAGCGCCTCTCCCCCGGCT